CCGTTGTGGAAATAACCACTCAATCTCATCTGAAGAAATTCACACCAACTAATAAAATATCTGCCATCATGGGTGACACGTGGCAGCACTTCATTTGTTGTAAAATTAGGTGTAAACAAGTAGTAAAGGCGAAACACATTAATTTATTCCACGCAGAGAAAATTGCAGCTTTGTCGCTAAAGACAGAAATTAAAATCTCCAGACAGAAGGAAAACACCAAGGAAAATTACCTGCCTATGAATCAAATCACCAGCAAAAGAATAAGACTTGAGTTGGCAATGGCTAGAGGGTGGATCTCCAGAGAGCAAAGGAGGTTGCGATTGTCCCTCACCCAGCCCCCTTAAGTAATAATCCTCCCTGAAATTGCTCAGTTGTCATCCAAGATTCGTCAGATGCGTCTTTGCTTCCACACCGATCAGAGAAATATGGTGAAAGGAGATGTTTGGGGATCCAAAAATTAAAGAATTTTTACATTTTACTTCAGTAAAACGCACTGTTCAAAGGCAACCAAACCAAAACAAAGGAAAAGAGAATAAAATATGAAGAGATAAATGACATTAAAAGAAACCAATCACAATAAGAAAAATACATGAGCAACTGCCTGCAGAGCAGATAGATGAAATCCAAAAGAAATCAACACAAATTCATACATAACCATAATTCCCACACAAGTCAACACAACTATATATCAACAATGAACATGAAAAATATGGAAACAAACTCAAGAAGCCATTGTTGCCAGATCTCCCCAGAGTAGAAAATCAACTGCGCCTACTTTCACCTATGTAAAATAAAGCAAAAGTAGAAAAATTAAGTTTCACTATTATATCATACACCTTGATTTTTATGGTTAGAACTTAGATGGAGCACAAATATTATAGAGAGAGTTGTAGAAACTTTCTCACCTAAGAGTGTTGGTTGGGTTTTTGGGTTTTTCTCTTCTTATGCCTTCGGTTGCCCCTTCTGTAAGGATAGGTCCGAGGTGCCAAACCTCGGACTGCTACAGTAATTTCTTTATGACCGAAGTGAGGAATAAATCCAGAACTTCCCGTTCAAGTGGCTGCATGTTAAGGACAATGAGCATGTCCGCACCTGATTCCTTACGATGAGTAGCACAACAAGCATGATGGACGCTCGTATACCTGAATACCTCTCAAATTCCCGGTCCCGGAATAATCGTCTGGATGGACACGTCAGGCTCCGATTATCTTGCTTGGCATGACACGTGGGTTCCTCATTGAATCCTATAAATACCCCCTCCGGGCCACGTCAAAAGGTAATTGAAACCAACCTTAAGCTTTTTCTATCTTCGCCCTAAAGGTAGCCCCGATTATTGCTGACTTAAGCATCGGAGTGTCTACCCCGAGTTCCACCTCGGGGCTTTGCAGGTTATTCCGAAGTGCGAGCGCGGACTGAAGAAGGACTTCTGGTTTGGTGCAATTACATTGGCGCCGTCTGTGGGAATCCGAACTGAAAGTTTGCTAGTTGCTCTTCCACCATGGTCTACACTCGATCAGTCAGAGCTGGTAACTCATCTCTGCCTCCTGGGCAGGGTCAACCCCCCAACAACCTCCCACCTCAGCTCCCACCTCAGCTCCCACCTCAGCTCCCACCTCAGTTTCCACCCCAGATCCCAGTTATGTTCCCTCCTATTGATCATGCAGAAGGAGGAGATGAAAATCAACCTCATGCCTCAGCTCATAACTCAGCTTCTACTGCCAACCAAGATGTAGTGACAGCTCAGCTTGCTGCCATGCAGCAGCAGTTTGGTGTTTTTCAATTGGTATTGGCTCAACTTTTAGCTAGAAATAACCCTGGTGATCCCCTCAT